ATGGTGTTTATTGACTTGGAGAAAGCGTATGACAAGGTTCCAAGGGAGGTGCTCTGGAGATGTCTTGAGCAAAAGGCGTGCCGGTAGCCTACATAAGAGCGATCACGGACATGTATGATGGAGCTAAGACTAAGGACTGTGGGAGGCGACTCAGAGCATTTCCCGGTTGTTATGAGATTACACCAAGGCTCTGCGCTTAGCCTATTCTTATTTGCCTTGGTGATGGATGCATTGACACACTATATTCAAGGGGATGTGCCATGGTGTATGTTATTTGCTTATGACATAGTTCTAATTGATGAGACGAGGGTCGGTGTTAACGAGAGATTGGAGGTTTGGAGGCAGATTCTCGAGTCTAAGGGTTTCAAATTGAACAGATCTAAGACAGAGTACCTAGAGTGCAAGTTTAGCGCTGAGTCGAGGGAAGTAGGCAGGGACGTGAGGATCACAGGCCATCCCCAAGAGAGATAGCTTCAAGTACCTTGGGTCGATGATTCAGGGGGACAGAGAGATCGACGAGGACGTCACTCACCGTATAAAATGGAGGCTTGCATCTGGAGTCTTGTGTGACAAGAAAGTGCCACCGGTACTCAAAGGTAAGTTTTATAGAGCTGTGGTTAGACCGACCATGTTGTATGGGGCAGAGTATTGGCCGGTTAAGAACTCCCATATCCAGAGGATGAAGGTAGCAGAGATGCGGATGCTGAGGTGGATGTGCGGGCACAATATGATAGACAAGATTAGGAATGAAGATATTCGGAAGAAGGTGGGCGTGGCCTCTGTGGATGACAAGATGCGGGAAGCGAAGCTCATATGGTTCGGGCACGTGCAGAGGAGAAGCCTTGATGTCCCGATGAAGAAGTGTGAGCGGTTGGCCGTGGTGGGTACGAGAAGAGGTAGTGGGAGGCCTAAGAATTATTGGGGAGAAGTGATCAGGCAGGACATGGTACGACTGCAGATTTCAGAGGACATGACCCTTGATAGGAAGGTCTGGAGGTCAAGCATTAGGGTTGTAGGTTAGGGGGGCAGCAGAGCTTTCCTTACTTCATACCAGGGGTGAGGCGGAGTTGGATTAGGGTTGATCTTAGATGACTTGCAGCTTATGTTGAATCCACACTATCCTTACTGTTTATCTTAGCCCCAGACCTTAAATTCTGGTTACTGTTATTGCATGTCATTCATCTTTTGGTTGTTATGCTTCTGTTACTATTACGGTTTCTACTGGAGTTACTAATGAATTGTCTTTTCTTGTTTTTTAATTTCCGTCTTTCTGAGCCGAGGGTCTATCGGAAACAACCCCTCTGCCCTATCGGGGTAAGGGTAAGGTCTGCGTACGCATTACCATTCCCAGACCCTACTTTGTGGGATTTTACTGGGTAGTTGTTGTTGTTGTTGTTGTTGTTGTTGTTGTATTTTATGTTTACTCTAAACTCATTTTTTATTATACTTAAATGAGGGAAAATTATATATTAATTAACTATAACTTACTGATAAAAATATATATACAGATTATCTTATTTAATGGTTGGTGTAAATACTAGATATGTGCCCAAAAACAAATTCGGGACTTGATAGTAAATGTGGTAATTGAAGAACTAATTTGGGACAGAAATGGACTATGAGTCTGGATGATTAGAATGGGAAGTGACATTGATGTGCTGAAAGTTTTTGGAAAATTTAGCAAATTATGAATTTGACAGTTTAGAAGGACTAACCTTATCATCTTGCCGTCGCATAATTCCAGAGATCAAATTTTTTGAGGCAATGGACATTGACTTTTCGAAGGTAAGTTTGGTATATTTTGTTGGTTTGTTTGCATTTCTGGAGAATGGGCCATCTGTTTGTGATATTGTCCATTCTTAACCTCACTCCAATTATTCTCTTTTCGGGGGCCCAATACATTTTAAGGGCCCACATTAACCCATTGTTTTCATTCACAAAGTTGGACATATTAAACTGGTAAGATATTGGTGTTTCAACAGATGGCGTCCATTGTTTTCCGTTTGGAATTATAGGCACCGCCCCTGGATTGACTCCTTTTTTTTTTAATGGCGGAGAGGATTTAAAGTGGAGAATGAAGCGACATCAAAGGTAGCTCGGTGCACAAAGTATCATGTATTCACGCAGAGTTTGAAAAAGGGCTGGACTTTAAGAATGTGATATGGACAACCTACTCAGATACAAATATTATTGGCTGCTTCTACGGCTTGATCCCGTAACCTATAAATTACATAAAAAAAACTTGAAAATTCAAGCAACCAACCAAGTGAGCTAATAAAACTCCCATGAATTAATTCCTTCGTTATGTATTTTCATTTTTCCTTCGCGTGGTCATTTTACGTACACAATGTTTCTTTCCTTTTCCAAATTTACATTAATTACATTTTATCTTTTTCGTTTTCAATTAAATATCAAAGGCTGATTTCTAGCATGAAGTTAGTCAAGGTCTTTTTCAGTCACAAAAAAATAGTGAAGCAGTTGCCCACCCAACAACTTAAATTAAAAATAACCAGTTACAGTTACGGTATAATATATGCATAATTTATGTATTATATGTGTATAATTATATATAATCAATATATAATTTATATATATGTCAAGAAAAAGTAAATAATGAATATCGCCGGCTATATATATAAAGATCCCTTCAGTTTATAACATACAATGTCATGGTATGCATAAAATTTAGAAGTGATATATACAAGACGTTCTTCACGTTTATTCCATTGTCTTCCCTCCTACTAGCTGATTCAGTGAAATTGGAGCCCAATCCATTCGAAGATATAATGCGGATCCATGTTGGATCAAGTGGGTTCAACTGAATCTGCTTCATCAAAAAATTATATATATATATATATATATATATATATATATGTATGTAATTAATATTGAAAAATGATTATGTAAATAAAATTAATCCGCTTGAAAGAAGCAACAAGTGTCAGTTCAGTGGTCAAGAGGGGACATATTTTGGCACAAGACGCAGGTTTGACTCTGGCTGAGCGCATTCTTCTTCTATGTACTTGTAATTGTTCTGAAGTCATAAGGGTCGAAGAAGTTTGTGCATTAGAATAATTCATGGTCACGGCCAACGAAACAGGTTCCTCACCTACAAATTCCTACTTAAGCTTTCTTTTTTATATTTGGTGTTAAATTAGTTCAATCTAATAATATATTAATATTGTAAAATTGGTCCTTTTAAATTTATTATTTGCGTCATATTGAAGTTGTTTTTAATTGTTATAATAATTTATGTCATATAGTTTACTGTTTGTAAATAATACTTTAAAAGTTATTTGTGACTGCAAATTTGTGTCTATGTTGTTTATTATGTTATTTTAATAGTACTTCTATACATTATACAGTTGCATTTTTCTCCTTTTCTGGGATTACGTGAAAGTGAGGTTAGTTCTATATTATTTATTTACTTATTTATTATTTTAGTAAATCGTATTTATCTTATCTATGGTGTTTCAAATTGTTATTTTTATTAACTAAATATGAGATTAAAATATAAAAATTAAAATTCAAGACTTTAAAGGAAAATTCATAGTCTTTTAAAGGGTTATAAACTGTTAGTGTTTATCTTGTCTATGGTGTTTCAAATTGTTATTTATATTAACTAAATATGAGATTAAAATATAAAATTAAAATTCAAGACTTTAAAGGAAAATTCATAGTCTTTTAAAGGGTTATAAACTGTTAGAGGTACTTATATAAATTTAGCAGCACACAGTTAAAAAATTGTGTTGTTCTGTCTAACTTTATTTTTATACAAAGGAAAAAAAAATCTTAAAAATGACATTTTTTTAGACGCATAATGGGAAAATAAAAAGAAGAGGTATATTTAACATTCACTTTCATTTACACGGTAATCTCCATCATTAACTATCACTAAACTAATAATATAATATCTAATTGATCCCGCTTGTTTAAAATCCTGAATCCGCCACCGGATATAAATGACTATTAGAAGCAAATTAAGCAGGCTTAACTATGTTGGAATTATGTAGCTAGTAGTTCATCATTGTTATTGTATATGTATGTGGTGCTACAACTAGCCCTTAGGTTAGCTATATAAGATTCATTTGAATCACCATTTCGTTAATGCTAAGGCCTTCTCTTTCTCCTTAATTTTGCTTCATTTTCCATTCACTTCCTGTTCTTTTCCTTTTTGCTTTTTTTTTTTCGTTCTTTTTTTCCTTGGGATTGGGATAGGGGAGATGGGGGTATCATGTATGATATGAAGCTGATGGCTAAAGGTGGACGGTCAACATTTTCTTTTTATTAGTGTTTATCTTCATATGTATAATAATTCGAGTAAAAAATAACGAATTCAGTTGAATCTAGAGAACTTGCCCTAATTCACCTTATTGAGTGGTGAGTGAGTAACGTTAAAATTTAGTTAGTTCTACTAATTATCACTGATTCACAAACCAAAATGCTTTTTTCCAGCACGGATAAACTCTGTAGCATCCTACACTAGCCCATTGGCTAATATTTATTGCGGATTATTTGCAGCATCTGGCCTTTTTTAAGGCCACTATTTAAATCAAATCTCCCGTTAATTTAGTTGGCTAATTTTTTGTAAAAATAATCATTCAACTACGTTTAGAGATAAAGTTTATCCCACTGTGCTAATGATTACCTTAAAAATTGCCATTTGTGCAAATGCCCTGTTGTTGCCCCAACAGCTTTCTCCTATTCTTACTTATTTGCAAATTTGTCTCCTATCATCCAATCCTAAAGATGGAAAAGTCATCATAGAATAAAAAGAAGGATTGTGTGTATTTTCTAGAAGAGGGAAGATGATAAATGCACTGAATCCATCCTGCCATTAAGCTTAATATCTTCCTAAACATGATTGGTATGATATTCATTTATGTCTATTTTCCATCTATAGCTTTCACCAACTCTTAATTAAAAAATGTAACCAACCTTTGCTACTATTTTCTGTATAGTATATAGCAATCCAATTGTTAATTCCTTTAGTTGCTTTTTAAAGAAAGCATTTAAGATATGCATTTCATTCATCCATTACTGAAGGAAGTGATGAAAGTAAGTGCATTCATTTTTAAAAAAAAGGAAGTAACATAATGTTACAATTAGCATTATACATAGAACGTGGGCATGAAAAACATTCCAAAACAAACACTTCATCTAGTATTTGTCGGTGTATTTCAATAATTAAATTTCACCTCCAAAAAGAGTCATTACAATATGTGGAAGCACAAAAGTGAAGAAATTATTTTGATCTTAACATTTCTTTTACTTATCTCAAACTTATGTTGGTTGATGAGTCCTAAGAGAGTGAAGGAGTGTAACAATGACAAGAAAAATATACAGATTTTTCTATTAGCAGGGCAAAGCAATATGGCAGGACGTGGCGGAGCCATTAAAAAATCTATTGGAGGAAATACTACCGAAGCATGGGATGGTTTTCTGCCTAAAGAATGTAAACCTAATAAAAAAATCTTACGATTTAATGCAGCTCAAAAATGGGAAGAAGCACATGAGCCTATGAATTATGGGATTGATTGCTTAGTAAGTTGTGCACTTGGCCCTGGAATGGCTTTTGCTAATGAAATTCTTAAAAAAGATTCAGAATTTGATGTCATAGGTTTAGTACCTTGTGCTAGAGGAGGGACAGGTATATATAGATGGAGACGTGGGTCTTATGCTTATGATGATTTGATTAGAAGAGCAAAATCAGCTGAAAAAGATGGAGGAACTATTAGGGCATTACTTTGGTATCATGGTGAGGGTGATATGAGAACAAAGAATGGGTCAAGTTCGTATAAGTCCAACTTTGAGAAATTTGTTCATGACTTGCGTAGTGATTTGCAATCTCCTAACCTCCCCATTTTGCTGGTACATATTTCTTCTCATTTTCTTGATGATACTATGTTAATAAGATGATTAATCTTGATCTATGATTTTTTTCAATTTTTTTTCTATTACTGTATCAGGGATCGGTCTCTTTATCCTTCAGGATAGGGGTAAGGTCTGCGTACACACTATCTTCCCCAAATCTCATTTGTGGGCTCCACGAGGTTATTGTTGTGTTACTATATCGGGGAATAGGGAACGATAAGGGGAAGGGAAATGTGAGAAATGAGTGTTGAACTCACCCCTGTTGTGTGAGAGACTTCCACTGGTACTACCTGACTATAAGCCTTAGCGGTGATATGTAATATATTAATTTGGATTTAACTCATGCTTTATGTTTGTGGAACATTTCACAGTTCACCTCAGGATTGACTTTTTGTTTATTATAGGAGTAATAAAAGTTCAAGGATTTAGATTATATACATTGTCCTGTAAATTTCTTTTACCCTATTAGGTTATATACATTGAGATTTTCTTGTAATTACTTTATAAATAGCTTATTTGTGCAAATAATCCTAAAACTTCAATATATAGATCTTAAACTCGTTTTTTTAATTATATCGCAGGCCGTCCTACCATACCCGAAAAAGCCATTTGAAGGGCCATATATAGAAGAACTGAGAGCAGCTCAAATGGGAATTAACATCTCAAATGTGATCAAGTTCGACGCTAAGGGACTAGAAATGGGTAGGGATGGCATTCATCTCACTACGCCAGCACAAGTTCAACTTGGACGTATGTTTGCACATGCTTTTTTGAGCCTAAAGAATTTCAGATCGAGGACTACCTTTAGTTTCTACAAGTTTTTCCCTTCTAATATATTCTCTTAGATCTTTCTGCTGATCCTTGTAGAACTACGTCTCAAATAAACTTTCATACCACGTTCATATATTATATACAGTAGTACAAGCAGTTTGTTTACAAACAACAACAACCCATTAATAATCCTACTCGTGGGGTCTGGGGAGGGTAGAGTGTACGCAGATCTTACCCCTTCCCATGAGGATAGAGAGGTTGTTTCCGGGAGACCCTCGGCTCAAAAATGAAAGATCTGTAACAATAGCAGAAAACATACAAATAAGATCAGCACCGTAAGTAACAAATAAGTGGGAATGACAATAACTATGGCAATAATAAAAATTAGAAAAATATAAAATAAAAGTAAAAAATTAATAATAATAATAAACAAAAAATAGAAAGTGTGATGGAACAATAAACGCTAGCAGTCCTATATAACACTATCAGACTAGCCAGAACAACGAAGAAAAACGCCCAACCACCCCCTAACCTACAACCCTAATGCTTGACCTCCACACCTCCCTATCCAAGGCCATGTCCTCGGAAATCTGAAGTTGCACCATGTCTTGCCTTATCACCTCGCCCCAATATTTCTTAGGCCGCCCTCTACCTCTCCTTGTACCTGTCAAAGCCAACCGTTCACACCTCCTAACCGGGGCATCTGGGCTTCTCCTCCGCACATGCCCGAACCATCTAAGTCTTGATTCCCGCATCTTGTCCTCCATAGGAGCCATGCCCACCTTCTCCCGAATATGTGCATCAAATTAAAGATGCATAATATGTTTGCTTTCAACACAATTTGGTTTCTTCTTTATGCATTTATGTTCATATCCGTCACGTACCAACTGTTCCTTAATGGAGTCCGACTCTAACTACTAGAAATTCGCTAAAAACCGACCAAAATTTTCCGACCAACGATCAAAAAAAGCGACAAAAAACCATCCAGCTTGGACGGAAACTGAAAAAAAAAATATTTTACATTTTTTTAAAAATAAATACCCACCAAAGTTGGTCAGTAAATTGGTCAACAAGTTGACCGAGCTGGTCAGACTTGCTTAGTCAAAGAAACTTTTGGATTACCGACCAACTTTGGTTGGTAATGTGGACCCAATTTTAAAAATTTTAAAAATTATATTATTATTTAAAATGTTTTATAAACTTTAGAAAACTTATTTAAAATTACCGACCAACGTTGGTCGGTTAATGCAGGGGCAACATTTACAGATAAACTTTGGTTGGTATATTTTATTTTCTGAAAAATAATAGACCAAAGTTGGTCGGTTATTAGGTTGACATTGGTCAAAATTTTGAATCACTTTTATATTTACTATCTAAATAATATAAATGTAATCCGTTAACACTTTTGTAATACAAATAATGAATATACTAACATATACTATAACATGCTATATATGTAGCTAAAGTAGTACAACGAAGTGTATATATATGTGCTAGGACCACAGGGTCAGATTCTTTTAGGGATAGACTTGTGAAGATCCTAATTAGTATATATAATTTACCATCAAATATATCTATTTGTATGTATGTGTGTGTGTATATATATATATATATATATATATATATATATATAGGTCAAACGTTTTGTTTTTAATATTCATCGATGCATCTAAGTAAGTTATAAGTCGATGAATCAATTGACAAATAGATATATTTGATGATAAATTATATATACTAATTAGGATCTTCACAAGTCTATCCCTAAAAGAACCCGACCCTGTGGTCCTAGCGCATATATAAACACAGATACTAACATATACTATAACAAGCTATATATATAGTTAAAGTATTACAATGAAGTGTGTGGGTAGGTATAGCCGTATATATATAAGAACACGAAGCGCTAGAACCAGATGGTCGGGTTCTTTTAGGGATAGCTTTGTGAAGATCCTAATTAGTGTATATAATTTATCATTAAATATATCTATTTGTAAATTGATTCATCGACTTATAACTTACTTAGATGCATCGATGAATATTAAAAACAAAATGTTTGACCTATATCGATAATAGTAAAAACAAAATGTCTCGACCTATAGCGATTAATCTATGTCATGCATAATTAGTGATGAATTAATGAAAAATAGAAGAATTAATACTAAACATCTTTGACATTTGTGTGTGTATATAGGTATAGCCGTATACATATAAGAACACGAAGCGCTAGGACCACAGGGTTAGGTTCTTTTAGGGATAGACTTGTGAAGAAGCAATAATCAAATTAGTATATGTAATTTATCATCTAATATATCTATTTGTAAATTGATTCATCGACTTATAACTTACTTAGATGCATTGATGAATATTAAAAATAAAATATTTTGACCTATATCGATTAATATAAAAAACAAAACCTCTTGACCTAAAATAGAATAATATTATATTGGGTTATCAATTGATAAATTTTTTGTACGTAGTAATGTATAAGATTGATCATCAATTTGTCACGACCCTGAAACCAACCCGGTCGTGATGACACCTATCATGAAACTAGGCCAGCCGACACAATCCCAATTCAAACCAATATTTCATAAAAAGAACGTCTTAAGCTATTAATTAATGGAATTCACAGTGTAAGTCTACATAACAAGTGCAGGAGAAACATAAGCCCGATATCGGGGTGTCACAAGTCTCGAGCATCTACTAATGGGCTGAATACAATGAAGACTATCACAGTCTAGAAAATGCTAAAAATAGACCTAGGAAGATAAGAGGGAGAAGAGCAAGGCTGCGAATGCCATGCAGCTACCTTGCCAACTCCGAAAGACCCGTTAGATGAAAGATCAATGCTCACTATCACGATCCACAACTCCCGAATCTGCACATAAGGTACATGGAGTAATGTGAGTACACCAACTCAGTAAGTAATAAGAGTAAATAAAGACTGAGCAGTAAGAAAATACATAATCCACATTATAACACAACAATAAGTACAATGTATTTCCAAAACAGTATGTAAACCAGATCATTTCATTAAAAATCCAGTCTTCGGTAGAAAACATTTGAAGACGTGAAAAATCCATTTAAAACATCTTCCAGCAGTTTTCAAAGAAGTGATGAAACAGTGAGTAAAAATGATAAAAACATAGTCGGCCCCTCGGGCAAAACTCACTCGTATACAACCCCTCAGGCAACATGAATCATAAATAACCCGTCGGGCAGCATAAGTCATAAACAGCCCCTCGAGCGATCATCACTGCCACTGATATACAGCCCCTCGGGCATACCTCACAATCACTCGTAAACAGCCCCTCGAGCTCAACATGAATCAAGAACAGCCCCTCGGGCAATATCATATCACTTACTATGAGTACTCGCGCTCACTGGGGGTATTCAAACTCTGGAGGGGCTCCTACAACCCAAGCGCTATAACAAAGCCATCTCGTGGCATAATCAATCAGGCCCTCGGCCTCACATAACAACAAGCCACCTTGTAGCATAAATCAATTAGGCCTACGACCTCACAATATCATGAATCAGTAACAACCTATCACACCTCCTTTTTCACCAACACCCCCGGAAGGGCGTAAAAGAGTTTTTTCCACTTAAAGAACAATCAGAACGGGATTTAATTATTAATTATTCAGAGTCGCCACTTGGGATATTAATGGTGTCCCAAGTCACCGGTTTAATCCCGAACCGAGGAAAGATATGACTCTGTTAACAGTCCGCAAACCAGAAATCCGAGCAAGGAATTCTGTTAACCCGGGAGAAGGTGGTAGGCATTCCTGGGTTCCGTGGTTCTAGCACGGTCGCTCAACTGTTGCATTTGATTTTATCTGATTTTAATACATGCTAACTTATGTGCCTTTTATTCGTAAACCGCTTTTTATCATTGTTTATTTTAAAAGAATTGCGACGTCGTGAAAGTGCGTTTCGAACCATGTCGCAATCAATGCACCCGTGGTCGTCAACACATTTCGACTTCGTCGAGACTTGGATTTGGGTCGCATCAATGCGCACCCGAGTTTAAGAAGGTAATTTTATTAGAATTGCATCTAAAGAGTCTAACGCGTCATTATCTTTTGGGAGGGCCGTGAAGCTCGCTAAACGACCCTTCCCGATTTTCTAAATATTTTTAAACCTTTATTGAGGGCCCCGCAAATTTGTATTTCGTTGGGTGAGGCTCGTCTCATTTTTATTTTAAAAGGGCAAGCCTAAAGCGACTAAATTTTTCCTATTTTTTTTTGTTTTGTCTCTAAAAGATAAAAAAACCTAATTATTTATTATCAGAAAAATCGGGCTTCGAATTCAAGCCCGGAACCAAACAAAAGGGAGCACCTTTTAGCTTGAACCCGCTACCTAATTCAAAACCAAGACTGATGTTATTATTCGAGAAAAACTTCAATTGGTTTATGCACTACCAAATCCTTTTGGCTTTGCAACAGGCCCTAGGAGAGACCAAGGCATAGACAAGTATAAGAAGAATATCAGTCTGGCCCAGGTTCAGGGGATAGTTAAGTTGTGGGCTCAAAATGAGCCTCATCCCAAGATCAGGAGGAAAACACATCGGCATAACGCCTGCTAACGTTACCCCGAACAGACTCGGCATTTTTAACACAGGAAAGGGCGATCCATAGCTACTCATGCTCAACAGGATACTGACTATTTGGACTTGAACTTCCAATATCAATTGCTTCCATTTACTGACTCCTATTGAATTTTGAGTACTAATAGGGTAGAGCACAATTCAGGCAACAACGAATTTATTGTTTTCGATATGGTTTTAACTAACGACTAGGTCAAACGAATTATGAACTTGAGGATAAGCTACTGCAATTACAAATCTATTCCAACTAGGGCTCCAAATTGCCACTGCCAAACTCCATAAGAACAAACTAATTAATTAAAATCAAAGACTGATTTCCAGCCCAAATTAAGACAGTCCACACCTATGAGAGCCACAATTATGTCTGTTATCAATCAGCTACAAAGTAACAAATGAAATGGTTCGAATTAGTCTGAGGTAATCTCCATTAACAGTCCACAAATTATCAACAGTCTCTATTGTCTCATATCCAACACAAATTAATCATTCCAAATGAATCACAAAGAAAATTGTATATGAACCGA